CCTCTCCAACTTTTCCTGTTTACTCGTAATTATATCGACTTTTCCTTTTCCTCTTCCCTACACTAATGATCACACCTTCTCTATCGCGAACACACCGTCGACCCCTTCCGGCCCGGCGCCAACTCGGCCTCCTCCGGGCTCATTAGGTTTGCATTGAATTAGACCGGGACGAGCCGCTCGATGAAACCCAATACGTGGTCAAAGGTGTGCGCTCTGGGCCGTGGCCCTTACTAACGACAAAGCAGAAGGCCGCGTTGGTAACGGCCGTGCCGGACGAGGCCGTGCCCGGCGAGGCCGTGGCCGCGCCGGTACCGGAGGTGTCGAGTTATCAAGGCCGTGGGCCGCGCCGATGTGGTAGTAAATTTGAGAGCCCGGGCGGAAACAGAAGTCGCCGGCGCTATCGGCGACTTTGTGGAAGGGCCGGCCGCATCGGGGCTCGTCGGGAGCTAGGGCGCTAACGAGCGCGCCACAGCAGCCCGGACCGCACGGGGCGACATGGACCACACGGACCGACACCAGAAGTGATTACTGAGATAAAACACAAGGTTTCAGATTGAATCTAGTATCGAGTATCCTTGGCCTGGAAACAAATATCTCGTTTTTGATGCGCGGATATAGTGGGCGTAGACCTCGGCGTAGACTCACCATGCAACGGCGTGAAGGTCGGCCTCCCTGGCGTCGCGCAGAACAGCGTCCCGCACGGCGTCCCTGGAGTCTCGCATCGACTCCCTGGAATCCCTGGAGTCCCTGCTGTCCCTGCGCACGGCGGTCTGGGTGGCGGCCTGCACGCCCTGCACCGCCTGCGGCCCGGCCTGCGCCGACCCTTGCTGCGCGTTGTAGCCCCGCGGCCCGCAGCGCCGCGAGCGCGCCGTGCCAAAGCCGTCGCCGAGCTCCTCGGACGAGCATCGGCCCAGCGGCGGCAGCGAGCCGAGCGGCGGCGGCGTCGACGAGTGCCTGCCGCAGCTCGCGGACGTGGTGGACGACGCGGAGGACGACGACGAGGACGGGGTGGGCAGCAGGCGCGCAGACAGCCCGTGCGTGCCGTGCGACGACGGCCTCCCGGACGGCGATGGGAGGCTGTAGGGCGCGGCGGGCTGGGACGGGCCCAAGGTCACCGGGCCGGGGTTGGCCTGCGCCCCTGCGGTCGCCGCCGTCTGGCAGCAGCGGATGTGGTGCAGCCCCCGGGACCCGTGCGACGGCGTCACCACATGGTGGTGGTTGTAGCGGTGCTGCTGGTGGCCGGCGTGGTGCGCGCGCAGCGTGTGGTACTGCTGGTACTGCTGGTGGTGGCCCGTGGTCGCGCCGCCGCCGTTGCCCGTCCGGTAGTGGTGGTGGAAGCGGTTGTACACGTCGCCGCCCGCGTACCGGTCGGCGGTGGGCGCCGAGCCGCTGGGCGCCGGTGGGGGCACGTAGCGCTCGATGGGCTGCGATCCGGGCGGCGGCACGGGCGACGGCGACAGCAGGTAGCGGTCCATGGGCGCGAGCGGCGCGGGCGCGGGCGGAGGCAGGTACCGGTCGCGGTCCCGCTCGCGCTCCCGCTCGCGGTCGCTGTGCGCCGAGGAGGCCGGCGACGGCGGCGCGTAGCGGTCCCGCTGCTCGCGGTCATAGTGGTGCAGGTGGGGCAGCGTGTGCGAGTGGTGGCCGTGGGCCGCCATGCCCAGGCCGTTGGGCATGCCGTTGGGCAGGCCGTTGGGAAGGCCGTTGGGCAGGCCGTTGGACAACCCGTTGGGCACACCGTTGGGCAGGCCGTTGGGCAGCCCACCGGCGCTCCACGCGCCGTGCCCATGCTGCCCGTGCGTCTGGTGGTACCGCTCCGTGGCCGGCGCCGGCGGCGGGGGCAGCGGCGAGCCGAGGGGGCCGAGGGGCGCGAGGCGGAGCGACCGGTACTCGTCGTCCGCCGTCATGCCGCCCGCCGCGTGCGGCCCGGTGTGCGGCCCGGAGTGCGGCCCTAGCCCCCGCACGCCGCCGTCAGGACATCTGCGAACAGGAAACGGAACAGGTTACACACAGCGGAAATATCGAACCGCGCTGACGCCACGCCTTGCAGCCAACAACCCCAGAATGGTAGTTTATCATCATAGTGCATCCTTTGTCCACGCGACAACCCCGCCGCTGGGACAAACACCAATTTAGCCCCTATCACCCAGAGAAATGATTAGCAATTTCAACCATCATATGGCATATGACATGGTTGGCTCAGGGAGCACCACAAAAAATATGGTTGATGCAACCTTACCGTGGTAGTGAGAACCAAAATTATGGTTTTCATCACGTGATGAACGTACCGGGTGTTGCATAAAAGACACAGGTGCGGGCGGGTTTGCCTACCCGCTCTGCCCGTAAGGCGCCATAGCCCCTTGGGTAGGCAAACCCGCC